TCACATTAGAGACGGAGTACTTTAACGTCCTCTCCAAAACACTTTCCCACAGACAAAGGGGAATAATTAAGAAACGAGGTCGGCATGACAATAAGACAGAAACTCAAACATGAAATTGGCGAGCGAGTTTCTGTTGTAGTGTTTAGCTTTGTGTTCTCCTTACATGAACTCGAAGCACTGTCCACTTTGCTACCCATGTTTCCAGAAGAGAGGCCTCACAAAATTTCTAAAAGTTACTAATGGGCTAGTATAGGACTCTAAAACATTAGAAACGATCAGTTTGTTGCTGTAAGACAAACCGGTTCACGTACGGGACAAGAAAATCTAGAACTTAATGGAAGCATTTAAAAATACCCTGGAGCATTTGTAGGCTCCAATTTTCTTATTCACTTCAACTGTTTGTAGCAAATGTACCACATTGAAGGAAAAAAAAAACAATCATTTTTTACGTGTGTTTTTAGTATGACAACACTACTGTTTTTCAGCTAGCTGGCACAAATAAATTGACAGTAAAAAACATTTGTTACAAATATTTCTCTTTCAAATTAATACATAATTTTTTTTATTATATTAAAACAGAAAGTGGTTATTTTAAATTCTAGTAATATTTCACAATATTACTGTTTACTGCATTTGTTGATTAAATAAATGCAGGTGAACACAAGACGAATCTCTCAATTTTTTTTTTTTTTTTTTTTTTTGTCACACACTTGCGGTTGATTAAAATAAAATAAAGAGGTGGACCTATTTGCAGCAATAGTTGATTTACTAGAAATAGACTTAAAGAAATAAAGCAATCAGAACAACTGAACAGACAAATGACCTGAACAAAACACAAGACTTAAAACATACACACAAACAACTGAGCTATGACGTGCGTTTCAATATTTTTACTGGAAAATTGATACTGATTAAGGAAATTATTTGTTTGCGGTGCACAAATTAATACAACTTAATTGAGTCCGAAAAGCTAAATTTATGTTGCGTTAATGTATCACCTTTCAAATTTTTCTCCTAACATTAATCATAATACACATACAAATGGACACTTTGGTCATGAATGTGGAGAGAATTCTCTGTCTTAAAGGGATACTCCACTTTTTTTGTAAATAGGCTCATTTTATCACTCCCCCAGAGTTAAACAGTTTGGTTTTACCTTTTTTGAATGTATTCAGCCGAGAATATCAGTAACCAGACAGTTTCTGGTCTCATTGACTTCCATAGTAGGAAAAAAAGGAAAAAAATATACTATGGAAGTCAATGAGACCAGAAACTGTCTGGTTACTGATATTCTTCTAAATATCAGAAAATCGACTGAATGGATTTGAAAACGATGACTAAGGGCCCTATCTTGCACCTGACGCAAATGACTTTGTACATCGACGCATTTATCATTCCTATTTTGCACCCGCGCAAAGCGGGCTTTTCCCTCCACAGACGCATGTCGGTAAACTAGGGAATGAACTTGCGTTCCCTGGGTGGGTCGGCGCAAAAAAGGATGCGTGTGTCGGTGCAAATATTCCCTGGTTCAAGAAAACAATTGACCAAAAAAAAATTAGTCTAAAGTCAGTGGCACGTTGCGTGTACATTCAGATGCTATTTTAAGTGTGCATGCTTGGCCATCATACAGAATGTGAACAACGCGCATTCACTATAGATGATTTTCTCATCTACACAGATGCATTCTACTTATTGCAAATGATACATTATTATAAGGAAAACTATTAAAACACGAGGGACATCATTGTTGTGTCCATGACGACGGGAAAAATAGGCATAAACCTTACACATTTAGCCAAATTATCATATACATGTTTAACCGAAGCTAATTTGGGTGGTTTAGTCCCATCCCCAATGTCACTTCTCTTTCTTTTACGGACCTGACGAGAACGTCGATCTCCTCGGCTGTGAACGGACTGTGAAGCGCGCCTGGTAAATGCACCGTTATAATAGTATTGCGCCATGGAACAAGCGCACCTCGTTCATCATGCTCTTAAAGGGAATGTGAAATGATGCTCTTATTGGTTTGTTTCCTGTTACACCCAAACCACACCTATGAATAATGAAGCTACTGTACTTCAGACCAACCCCTTTTAGATTTGCGTTAAGAGCACAAGACCCACCCACAAAGTTACTTGATACTTGCGTTTCAGGCCCTAAGAGTTTAAAGCTATAATTCCAGCTCTGTTTACCCTCAAATCACCAATCAAGTGGACAAACCTCCAACCGCACATCATGCTATTTTATTGAGGACAATGATTGAGGACACGCACACACACCTTTCGTTTTGAATTTATTTTGGCATGAGGCATTGTGTCCGCAACTTCCTCCGTATTTCGGTGTAAGCTCATTTTCTTTGGATGACTATTACAGTACGACTCAACAACAAAGATATGTATATTGTACACGTAACTGTATGAACACCCAAGGCACAGGGCCGTTGTAAACGCTTACAGACGGGACACCTGCGGGCAGTTCTGCTCTCTCATGTGTACAGACGAGACATCTGGTAGAGCCGCAAGGGCTCTGCGAGTATGAATCTATGAGTGAGGTGTTGCAAGTGACCTCAAGATGCTCAGATGTCCCACTTAAATAACAAAAGAGGGAGTCGCCACAGATTCATTCAGAAAAAGCAAAAGCTCTCATTTCACATTTTGAGAGAAAAAGCTCCACCACCCTGATGCCTGGACTTCCACGGTTCTATTCTTTCTGTATTATTCCAGCTACGGTATATTTGGGTTTGTCTTTGTGCCTGCCTATAATTGGCTCTGCCCTCTTTTCAAAAACAAAAGCCACAGATGTCTCAAAGTCAGAGTCCTTGATTTAGACTTGAGTATATGTGGGTCACCAATAACACATATCAAAGATATAGTTCTAAAATTGTTGTAAATATAAAATAAATGCAGAGCCCACACCACAACTATAACGATAACAGCACAGTGAAACAATGGGAATTGGGAATGACTTTCAGAAAAGAAACATTTCCAGCTGATGATAAACGATAAAAATCATTGACACAGCAAATCAGAATTCATTCTGCAAGCATTTAAAGCATTAAATAACAAAACTGAAGCACATGCTTAGAAAAAAAAAAGCTAACAATTAATAAACTGGTGGACGCTAATTTAAATGAACACAAGGTGAGAGCAATAAGTGTGGCCCTATGCAGTATGTGTTGAAATGGGATTTAGAAAATAAGCCCGTGTTCTTGTATGCATAAGCGTTTCTCGCTGCTGTGTAAATTCTGAGAGCATCGAAGCTGGTTGAGTTAGACAGTGGTGGCAATTACTGGAGATCAACACGCCTCCGATATGGGAGCTGTGCTAGTGTAAAGGCAGAATCTGGCTCTACACACACACAGTTAAAATTTCGATATAACATTACATGCCATGCAGACAAATGCCGCCAGACTGATTCCAAAGCTGACTTTCTAGGATGCACAAAACACATTTTAGGACAAAAATAACCTTCTTCCACTGCTCCAAGGTCCAGTTCTGATGCTGATGCCCATTGCAGGCACTTATATAGTGGACAGGGGTCATCATAGGCAGTTTGATTGGTCTGATATGCAGCAGAATGCGACACAATGTGTGTTGTTGTGACACATTCCTCCCATAACCATCGTTAAAATGTTGTGTGACTTGTGCCACAGTAGACCTTCTGTTGGCTCGAACCAGAAGGGAGAGCCTTTTTAGTCCTCACCCTCGATGAGCCCTGTCGCTGGTTCATGGTTTGTCCCTCCTCGGACCCATGTTTAATTCTAAATTCTCACCACTGTTGTGTTGACCAGGAGCAACCAATAAGGCTTACCATTTCAGAGATACTCTGACCCAGTTGCCTTGGCCCTTGTCAAAGAGATCAGTGATATTCACTTTACCTGTGACTGGTCAGTGTATAATCATGTTACATTTTTAAGCCAATTTTCAATGAAAATTTTTATTTCTGAGATTGCAGGAAATGCCAGAAAAATGTCAGATGTTTGGATTCAAACTTCTTTGAGAAGCCAGATGTGATTTAAATTGAGTAACACTTTGTTCTTCATTTCAAGTCCTATTGGTGCTAGGACTCGGAGTTCCCTTGCCAATCAGTGTAAAGAAAACAAATCACTTATTAATATTGCTATCACCAACCACAGATAACTTTAATTCTGCAGTTAAATACTGCAATACGCTTTCTCTAATTTGTTTCTAAAATATAAAATAAAAAACAGATGGACTTTATAGAAGAAATAGAAAGTCAAATGTATGTTAAGGCTTGCAGATAAAGACAATATTAATGTAATTTACAGTGCATTTAAGTTGGCACCTTTCCAATTGTAACTGAAGATTTACAATCACACTTGTTCTCACCAGTGTTGTTATTGTTAACCAAAACTTAGAATAAAATGTTTTCATTAACTAATAGAAAGCTGAAATAACAGTTAAACTTAAATACCTAAAATACTAATTAAATGTTGCCTTGGCGATTAACTGAAATAAAATAAAAACATAATAAAAATAATGCTAAATAGAAATATATAAACTAACAGTTCAAAATAAATAAAATAAACGACAAAAGCTTAAGATAATTTTTTAAAACAAAAACTGACGATATAAAATATTTATAAATACAAAAATAGTATACCAATAATAATAATAAATATTATAATCACACATAAATAACTCTGGTTCTCATAATTATTTATTTTATTTTAGATCCAGTAGTGCAGACAATAAGTATGTACTGTAAAGTGATAGACACTCAAGTACTCAGAAAATGTCCCCGCATGTTGATTCTGATAATGGACTGCAGTCTTATGAAAAACTCATCTCAAAACCTTTCACTGTTTTTAATCAATAAAACACTTATCAACCGTCTATGGCGTCCCTCCAAGCGGATATAAATCATTCGAAGGGAAAAACCTCTCTGCCTGCATTACTCATGTGTTGTGGTAAAAACTGCCATATGACAATCTGCATCTGTCAGAAAATTGAACAGTATGTGGGAAGACTGTTTCTCACCTCTGTATTGGTGGTTCCTACAGCAGGCTCCTCCACTGCCAGCTCCATATGGCTCTTCCCTCTCAGCTGTGGACAAAAACACACACACTTTCAGAAGTCATCTACGTCTACATCTCTAGTCGACTCCAGAGGTATTTCACTTTAAGCATATGAGTAATGCCTTTGGAACATGAATGCAACATTTGATATTGATCTTATTTATATTCACTTCAATATTGATATTTAAACATTCCCACACAAACAAGTGAGCTGCTGATATTCAAAAGCATGGAGGACATTCAGATAAGCAGCAGGCTTTTAAACATTACACATTTATTCATTTTATCTGAAGTCACAGAATAAAGTTAAAATTCTGCTTGGAAATTCTGTCAACAGATAATGTATAATGTATAAGGCAGGCTGAAGAACGAGAGAAGGCCAGGCGCATCAGTCTGAAAATTCACAAACACAACCCTTATATAACATCACACTCACATACGTATGCGATCCAAGTAAATGATCAACATCCTGAAGACCATGATATGTGACTGTGACCATTTCTATTTTAAATTCAGTTCAAAATACTTTCATCTAAAAATCTTTCATCGTTTTTTAAATAAAATATTTTTTATGTTTTTGAAAAAAATCTCATGCTCACAAAGGTTACATTTATTTGACCAAAATACAGTAAAAACTTTGTGAAATATTATTACAATTTTTAAAAAGTTGTATTTTAATATATTTTAAAATTACGTAATTTATTGCTGTAATGACAAAGCTGAATTTTCATCATAATTACTCCAGCCTTCCCTGTCACATGATCCTTCAGAAATCATTTGAATATGCTGATTTATTATTAAGAAATATTTCTTATTATTACTAGTGTTAAAAAAACAATTGTGCTGCTTAATATTTTAGTGGAAACTGATATTTTTAAAGGATTCTTTGATGAACAAAGTTTAAAAGAACAGCATTTATTTATTTTTTTAAATAAATAAAGAAGAAATTTAATGCATCCTTGTGGAATATAGGATTCATTTCCTCAAAAAACTACATACAATGACGACTGACATAGATGATAGCATATAGGTTATTGTTAACAGTAGTATGTAAATGTTTTTTTGTATGCTAAGGTTTAAAGGCTCAGTGAAGATATCTAAAGATTTCAAGATGCTGCTGATGGTGTCCTATAAGACCGTGAGACACTGGGATCAAGACACACAGTTCACAGAGAGACAGCTTCCCCCTAGTGGCTGTATGCAACAACAAAAAAATACAGTCAAAATTTACACTGGTACAATAACACACACATCTCATCAACCTGGTAAAATACAAAGCAATAAATAAAAACACCCATCAATACATGAAAATCATGCATATTTAAAAACTGAAATTAAGTTTTGCGTTTAACTCTGCAGTTGAATATACAAGCTTTAATCTTTCAGCTATTCAGTCCAGTATAATCTCACTTCCTCAGAAAATTAGTTTTATTAATCACACAAGTCTCTAGTATACTTGTAACATTTTATCAGTAGGTGTTTGATTGACACATTTGATGCTTTTGTGAGTGCTGATGCGTCAGCAGACCTAAGCAGTGCTGCGGAATTCACCAGCGTCTGAGAAGACAAAGCCTGCATGCAGCTCTGGAGCCATTTGTATTCTTCGGATATCTACAACTTCATTTATTGCCTTTAATTATTCTGTCACAAGCCTTTCCACTCACCCTCAAAGGCCTCAAACACACTCAAAGGGTGCTTTTCAAGCCATTTCGAAAGAAAATTAAAGGTCTATATTTTCCCCAAGAGCAGAATCAGGATTAACTGGAAAGCAGAATTTTAATCCCCAGAAACATATATAAGTCTTCTGCAGTTTCAGAAGAGATCTAAAAAAAGTCTTGATTTGTCAAGAGTCAAAAATCCACAAAAAATAAGAGCTTTCAATATATAAATATAAAAATTTCTCTTCAAATACTTACAAGAACAAATTTACATGTTACAATTTTTTGTCAAACTTACATGACATGGATTGTTTTATTAGACTCAAGCACATGGAGTATGTCATTTTAAGATATGAAACTTGCAGGATGATTTAATGTCCTGACTGACCTCTATATTTTTACTCAAACTGTTTCATTTAGGGCTACATTGCATTTCCAAAACAGCAAATTAAGGTCTGTTTCACACTGAATGCATAAATCAGTGATTTTTTAAAGCGTGAAGATGTCACACCCTCTGGAGGTGCGTGAGCCAATGCGAAGCCGTCCCTTTGGAGGGAGTTTTTACGACACATTGTCTTCTATCAGAGCATTTGAATGTTTAATTTCATTGGGTGCTTACGAAAAGAATCAACAATATTCTTATAATACTAATGCGTCAAAGTTAGCAAAATTAAATGTAAATTAACAAATGGGGGGAAAAGATTGGAGTTTATAGAGACTAACACATATGATTTGGGGTTAACCATAGTATGCAAGTCATGTCTCAGATCAGAATATTTTAGAAGAGAGAATGAACATATAAGCCAAACCATAGAAAAGGAAAATTATGAGATGGAAAATTAGATACATGTCAATAGATTTATCACATGGTTATATATACACTCATCTAAAGGATTATTAGGAACACCATACTAATACTAATACCCCCTTTCGCCTCCAGAACTGCCTTAACTCTACGTGGCATTTATTTCAACAAGGTGCTAAAAGTATTCTTTAGAAATGTTGGCCATTATTGATAGGATAGCATCTTGCAGTTGATGGAGATTTGTGGGATGCACATCCAGGCCACTAAGCTCCCGTTCCACCACATCCCAAAGATGCTCTATTGGGTTGAGATCTGGTGACTGTGGGGGCCATTTTAGTACAGTGAACTCATTGTCATGTTCAAGAAAGCAATTTGAAATGATTCGAGCTTTGTGATATGGTGCATTATCTTGGTGGAAGTAGCCATCAGAGGATGCGTACATGGTGACTATGAAGAGATGGACATGGTCAGAAACAATGCTCAGGTAGGCCGTAGCATTTAAACGATGCCAAATTGGTAGTAAGGGGCCTAAAGTGTGCCAAGAAAATATCCCCCACACCATTACACCACCACCAGCAGCCTGCACAGTGGTAACAAGGCATGATGGATCCATGTTCTCATTCTGTTTACACCAAATTCTGACTCTACCATTTGAATGTCTCAACAGAAATCGAGACTCATCAGACCAGGCAACATTTTTCCAGTCTTCAACTGTCCAATTTTGGTGAGCTCTTGCAAATTGTAAAATAAAACCTTCCCCAAGAGGACTGTCCTCTCTTCAACTGGACAACACAACAAGCGATAGACTTCAGAAAGATCCAAAATAAACTATCAAATTATTTTTTTGCCAGCTCATGCCAAAATAGCCTGTGTTCTGGGGCAGCACGATGCGTGGCTTCTGAAAACGCTATCCATTACTTTACTAATCCACGAGAAATTCAGTATATTGCATGTATTATGTGAATTTTCCACGGATGAGCAAAGTAATGGATGGCATATTTGTTGGGAAAATATACATTACTTCAAAATAACTCTATTTTAATATATTTTAAATTGTAATTTATTCCTGTGATGGCAAAGCTCATATAATACTACAGTAGCTGTGATCTATTCTGCATGTGTTTGAAGTAAAGCCAGTTAACTAGGTCTACGCACATGATTCTTTATTTGTCTCACCTCTGGCGGTGTGGAAGCTGGCTGCGGACCCTCGGTGGGTAATGTCGAACTGGTGGCAGTGTGTTCCCACTGCTTAGCCATGTGATTCACCTCCACCAACTTCTGCTCACAGCTCTTCTGAGAGTTCAGCAGGGTCACTTCATAAAACTCCTGGATATCTACATTGAGAGAGAGAGAAAGATAAACACTATAAATGTTTTGTTTTTTTTAATCCCTACTCAAACTCGGTTGTAGTTTCCGAACCACGCTTTGCCTAAATGGGCTTGTGGATTAAAAACCAACATAATCTCTAGCTGGTAGCAGATCAAATTAAACACAGGAAATTTATTAGATTGATTTGTTGGCATATAAATGAATCTAGCACGCTTTGAAGAAAAGAAGGTTGAGAGAGGGAGAGAGAAACGAGGTGAACACATGCTTGTTTAGTCAGGGAGGAAAAAAGCTGGATATTTGAGAGGCAGCCATGGTACAGATTAATTTGTGTTTCTGGGTCAAAAAGTGAGATTAGACACACATTTCTAGCTAGCTTAGCCAAACAGATTCCAAGTCAAATCAAAATGAGAAAATATGTAAGGCTTTCCAATAATTGCCATGACTGTTCAATACAGAATACGTGTGGGAACATTGTAATGCTGTCACAGGTTGGCTGTGTAGGTTTTTCGCCGTCCACAATTCCCTGAAAAAGTGTGAAAAGATTCAGGGAATCCAGATCAATCTCAGTTCGTGTAGAGCAAGGCAGGAGACGATCAAACAAAACAATCTTCACAAATATGTCTAAGGAAGATGCATTTTTGCATTTTTTTGCCCAGCCATATTTATTTGAACTGCGTCTTACGTCCTCAGCGTCACTGGAGCGGATTGACAACAGTACCGGAAGACGATACAATGCTGAATAAAGTCATAGTTTTTGTTATTTTTGGACCAAATTGTATTTCCAATGCTTCAAAACATCTTAAATAACCCACTGATGTAACATGGACTACTTTGATGATGTCTTTATTTCCTTTCTGGACTGGACAGTACACCGTGTATTAGGGCTGCGAATCTTTGGGTAGACAGCGAATCGATTCGATTCACGATTCATAGGTTTTCGATTCGATTCATGAGCGATTTGTGCAAATTCAGAACGATTCGATGCGATTCACATCCAAATTCGATGCGATTCGATTAATTCGATTCGATTTTTTAATTTTTTATATGCATTATAGTATTATTTCAATGCTTCACCCAATGGGTCTTTGTCTGGGTTTGAATTAGCCTACACAGCGGCCTTCTGGGGTCAGATAGTGGGGATTTTGTCCATTGTTAATGTTAGTTCATGTTTGTTTTTAATTTTAATGAATATATTATTATAAAAAAAAAAATCAATGGCCTACAAATTAGCATTTGCAAGTAGCAAATATTTTGAAAAAGGCTTTTAAAGTATTGCATTAAATGACTACATGCACAAATTAATGGAGACGTTTTCATTAGTTTCATTTTGCGTCCTCTCAGTGCACTCGTTATCATCTTTTCACTGGATTTTGCTCGCGCTCGGTCCCATAGCTCTCATGCTTTCATAACGGTAACTACAGATTTTTGAGCAGTCCATGTTTGAGCTCGATCTCCAGCTGAGCTCTCTGTCGAGAAAGCAATAGTTTTGAGGCAAACCGCTCAAGCCATTGATAAAGCTGCCATGCCATTGCGTGGGCACTATGAAATAAAACGCTTTTATACATTTATTACATGGACTCTCCGTACACGCAAGGTGGTCTCTCGCTCGCTTTCCCTCTCTGCCGAGTGCGTGCAGCCGTGTGTGAACGCGCGATACGCGGTTTGGAGCACAACCTCTGTCTCGTATGCACGCTCGCTCTAGATTACGGGAGATTTTAACTAATTTGCGGTAATACAAACTGATCACGACATGAGTAGCTCAACAGGTAGAAAGATAAACTCATCTTTCAGGCATTTGACCGACCGGGCTTCAGTGTGAGAAATCAGGGGTGTGTGAGCGCCTGAAACCAATCAAATGCGGATGTCGTCGTATGACGGCCAATGCGTGAGGTAGCTTGTACCAGGGACACTTTAAGGTTGTGTTTATATATTTTAAACCACTGAATCGCTATAAAATCGTGATTAATTCGATTCTTAGCCTTTTAAATCGATTATTCACGTAAATAAACGATTCAAAAATAATAAATGTTTCAGGATCGATGCATATGCATCGCCAGGATTTATAATCGATGCATCGAGAAAACGAGTGAATCGTTACACCCCTACCTGTATAGGCCTACTTTTTTTAACATAATTCTCATGTGTGTATATATATATATATATATACACTAATTATTATTATTATTTTATTAATATTTGTATTATTATTATTAATAATAATTTATAATAAATACATATACAATAAATGTTTTCATTTAGATACTCTGTTGTACTCCCATTTCTATGTCCACCAATTTTGAGAAGACAAAGGTAATTCTATTAAGTGATACTAAACGAGGTCAGAGGTTCTGTGAGCTGTATTACTATTATTGTGGGTCAACTCTCTTCCACCCTGCCTCAAGAGACACTAAACAGAGACGTCAGAGATATCCAAATATTTAAACTAGAGTGCAAACACTTGGGACCACCTGGAGAGCTCTGCTCGTTCAGCCTGGACAACACAGATTTAAAAGCGACAGTTACATTAAGCCACAATGCATGGTGGGTAAAAGTCAGCAGCTCTGCGGTGAATCCAGCCACCATATGCTGTACTAAATGTTACAGATCCTGCCTTGGAATGAACTAAGCTCCTGCTTTGAGAGAGAGGAGATAAAAGAAAAGAACATTCTGTGTGTTTGGAGTGCTTTTATGGAATATGAAATGTACTCAGTAGCAGATTACATTTTGACAATATATAGAAAGCATCCCACATAAAAAATACAGGAAAAATAAAATCTCACAAGCAGATTTTTTTTCAGATATGACAAGAAATATTACAAACCTGGAGAGACTAAAAACCTATATTGAAAACACATATGTGGGTAGTTTACATGACATTTGTAAAAGAAACTACAGTGTCCAGCTATGTGACAAACTATATATAATTTAAAACTGATAACATTTTCTAATTCCTGTATTTCTATACCTGCAGTTTAAATGATGTATTCTTTGAGAGAACACATAAATTATTTGTACTTTAAAACATGCATTTGTCACAGCACTGCAAGTGATCTGCAAAAAAATCAAACTGAAAATAAATGGTTTGCTTACCATTTCACAGACAAATATAGTTTTAGTGGTAAAAACATCCAATCAGCAACTCTACTCCATAACAGAGAGTCTTCATTGGTCAACAGAACCACATGAGTCCTTCGCATGTGATAATGCATGCAAAGCTGCTCCGGAGACAATATAACGTTGCCAAAGCTGTAGCACAAAACAGGAATTTTCCACCAAACAAAAGAAGCATCTTTCAAACAGAAGCTTGCAGTCTATTCCATCTTAAAGAAAGAAAATGCATTCACATGTAAATAAAACTTAATAAAAAGACTCCATTTGTTATTCCTCCTACAGATGCCCGCCTGGCCCAGCATTTCAGAGCGAGTTAAGTTCAACACATATCAATCACACTGTTTATTCAAGCATTTGAGTTGGTGCAAAGCCACAAACACCAAAAAGATTACTTAAAATGTGATTTAGTTACTTTTGCCTCTAAAGTGGAAGCACAAATTGAAAGTGAGACCAAAGACTTACATTTATGCAAATCCCGCCTTCTCAAAGAGACAAGGGTGACACAATTTGAGAAACTGATAAAATACAGAAATATGAATACTATTCTAGATCAAACTGTTAAAATAACTCGCATCGATAACATGCAGATAAAAAAAAATATGTTTAAAAGCAACAGTGATTTCTAATAAACTTACAGAGAGGTAAAAGTCCCCTGTTCTCCATGGACATGTTGCGCAAAATGTCATCAGTGAAACAGCGAGAAGTATTGTGTGTGTGTGTGTGTGTGTGTGTGTGTGTGTGTGTGTGTGTGTAATGCCAGATGCCTGATCTAACAGCATGTTAGCAGACAGCTTAATCCTTGCACAGGCCTCCTGTTCTCTACAATTCAGATAATGACCTTACACCCTCACACACAAACAGAGAGAATACAGCTGATCATTATTTCTGACGCTTTGTGATTCGGTGGATTTTAAAGCTGTTTAGTGCACTCAAACATGCCCCTTGTTCCCCTCAGAGAGCCCAACAGTGGCAGTTTCTACTTATGCATAAAGCCAAGCAGGTGCGGTCTGATGATGATGTGGTGTCTCTGTGTGTTTGGCTGTAGGCTGGACCGGGGCAGCTGGGAGGCTGTTTGGGTCAGGACAGTTCAGCTCAGGGCACAGAGCTGAGCCCTTGAGGACAGAACCCCTGATTTGTGATCAGTGAAATCATCAGCATGAGCAAAGATCTCCAAAACCATCAAGAACATCGGATCAAAGTATTTTAAAGAATCTCAAAAAAACTATTTTAAAGATCTCAAACATTATACACGCTACCGTTAAAAAGTTTGGGGTCAGCAATATTTTTTTTTTTTTTTCAAAGTAATATACTTTGCCCCTTTTATGCTTTTAAGAAACTTTAGATAGCTGTTTGTGAATGTAAACACAGCAAAGTTTTAAAACCAACAGCATCATTACTGTTCGTGTCGCTGTGTATTAAGTGCAGAGGAAGTCTCCAGAGCTGTAATATAGATATGGCAAGGCATTAGGCCAATGACAACAAACTGGGCCGTTAAATTATGCACGTCCGGTTCAGGTAAGAAATGATTCGGGTTGGGTACAGATTTTAGGACCCGAAAACTCTAGTTAAGAGAGACAAAATCTTGGAATAATTCGTTCTCTTTCATAGGTTCACTCAACGCTGCGTAGCTTAAGACGCAGTGGGTATGCCAATTGTCTGAAACCCTTATACAATCACGCCAATTTATTGTCCTGAGGGCAATACAGTCACAGGAATGAATGATATTTAAATATGTGAAAAGAAAAATGACAATTTTGAAATGTAGTAATATTTCACAATATTTAAATTTACTGTAAAATGTATCAAATGCAGTCTATGGAAGGATTAAAGACTTCCATTAAAAGTTCAAATAAATTAAACATTTTAAATCTTACCCATTCCAATCTTTTGAATG